ATTGTCAACGCCATATTCTAGAAACATGCATGCATAAGATTAGTCTACCTTCTACTTTTACAAAAATAATTAAGAAAACGAGAAAAAGGCATTTATAATAGTGGGACAATAATATAAATAAATAAATAATGACATTGTTTGATAAAATAGTTAGTATATAAGTCAATTTGATTACTATTAGCTGTTTGACTTGATTAAACAAAAGATAGTATGAATATGAAGATTGACTTGTAAGTGCGTTGACATTTTCATTAAAAAGATTGTGTTGACATTTGCGTTCCATTGAAAAAATAATAGGAAATATTATAACATCATAAGTAAAATGATGACATACTAAACTTAATAATTTTGAACCGTTAATAAGGAAATTACTAATGCAATTACGGACACATCCTAAAATAAATTACATCTTATAATGATATAGAAATATCGTCAAAGAAAAAAAAAATCTATTAAATATAGAAAGCAATAACACGCCCCACTTCTTTAATCAAACCTCTCAAATTATATGTTGTGACAGTCACTTTATAGTTTTAGTATACAACATTATTTTTACATGCTATTTTATAAAATTTTAAAATAATGATATAATATAATATTATTTGAAATCCACGTGGTGTTTTGACTTAATATATAAATCTTATATATTCACTAATTCTAAAATATAATAATTAATTAATAGTGAATTTCCTGGCTTGCATCTGAATTCCAATACCACACGTCTTTCCAATCTTGGTGATGCATGTGAATTATAAGTGTATTATTTCTTCTTCGCTTCTTCTTCATCTTCTTTTTTTAATAGAAAATGCATTGCCTTCATAAGAATGTGCATTTGAGCTGGAACTCCCCTTATAATTTAATGAGCAAATGAGCATAAGAAGTAAATCAACTTAGTTTATATATAGTTGACCAACTCAAACTGAAAAAATCAATAAATAACTTTCTCTCAGAGTTAAATTTAAAATATTATAATTATAAAGCAACTCAACTAAGTTGTTTTATTATCTAATTCAGGGGGATAGGAGAACTTCTTTTTTGTGCTAAAAAAAAGTACATCTTTACTTATATGTTTCAGGAGTTAATAATGTTGAAAATTGTGAGAGCTATTGGCAGCTGGTCCAGCCAATTTGGTTGGACATTATTAATTAATTAACATCAATCTTAGTTCAAAGTTTAGTTTATAGTCAAACATGTAACCTCCCATTTGAAAGAATTACAATTATATGTTGCTCGACCACAAAGTCTTTGACACTCTATAGTTTTCTTTGTTTGAATTGTCTAGCTATAAACGATTTAAATTGATAAAGCATATTTTATTTAGTTCACGTTTTCATATAACAGTTGCTTGATTTCTTGTAAATTTATAATAATAATAAAAAAAAAGAGTTATACTACATTGATTATTGGACTCTTAAATTTTACTTGCTAAATTTTACTCACTCGTGTGCCCGACACTAATAAGCTATTTTTTTCATGTGAGTCTCAAATACAATTGTGTACATCAAATTTTGTGTTTGGCAGTACACATAGTATTTTCCTTAAAAATAAAATAAAATTGTGAGAGTAGCAAGAGTCAATGTTGGGACTTAGAAGGGCGTTTACTTTGGAACTTAGCTAGTTAGCTTCTAGCTGTATGCCTATATGGCTGTATATATATATATATATATATATATATATATATATATATATATATATATATATATATATATATATATATATATATGAATCCCTTTGACTTTCTTCGCTCTTTTTATTTTCTTCATTTGGTCAGCATTTTTATGTGGAATTTTAGATACACATATAGCAGCCACCCAACTATATATATATATAGCAACGCAACATCCTGGGCAGATCATATCGCTAAGCAAAGCTCATCACTTTGCTCTGCAATTCTCTTCTCAGCTCATTTCACTACTTTTCAACATTATTTATTTGACTTTTTGTTGCCTCACATTTTAGTTATGTGCCGCTTTAATATGGAAAATGTTGCAGAGGCGCCGGCGAAGAATCCAACGAAACACCACTTCGCCGCCGCCGCCTCCTGCCAGCTTCCGCCGCAGAGAGGTCGGATCACAGCCATGATATTCGCCCAGTTGTTTAAGAAAGTAATGGGCGCCGCCGGGTCGCCGGAACCCGGCCTGAAAACCCGCCGGGGTTAATCCTTCAATTCGTGTTCAGATATGCATGCAGATATGTACGGAGTATTTATATCTTTTATTTGCTGTAAATGTTACTAATAAATGTTTTACGGAGTATTATTATTTAATTTTTCACAATATTTGTGTGTGTTTTTTCTTTAATTTTAAGATATTGTTTATTATAGTATTAAATATTAATGTGACTTTATAATTAAAAAAAGTAATATTACATGCATTTTTTTTTTACTTCGCTTTTACTCTAACAAGCTGATTGATCCAACAAAAAAGGCCTACTACAATTTGTGTAATATTCTTCTTTTTCTCCCTCTAATAGGCGGAGTTTAATTTCTTTGGACGAAAGTATACATATAATTATATAAATGCAAAAGAAAGCAAATTATATTTATATTACTCCCTGTTGATGGGATGGGCGAATTTGGTCTAGAAAGAAAGTGGACTACAATTTTTAGCATTATTCTTCTTTAATTTTGTCCCTCCAATATATGTAGTCGGGTGCTTTCTTTCATCGAAAGTATATTATATAAAATTATAAATGCAGAAGAAAAGCAAGTTCTATATATAAATTTTAGGGTTTAATTTATTCAAGCCACGAATGATTAAATTTTATTGTAAATATAGTTGGGAGATGGGCATTACACATGTTTCATGCTCAACAAAATTAATTAATTAATTAAAGATATATGCATGTAAAAAGTAGTGGAATAAAGAATAAAGTTTTGTGGTGAATTTAATAACCATTTTCAGGATAAATATCTTGCAACTTAATTAATTGCTAAGCACTTTAGATTTAGATGACATATTTACAGCTCTCATTGAGAGAAGGTCATATAATTAACTCTGATAATGAGGTATTGACCTTTTGAACTGCAACAGCTACCACCAATTATATTATGTAGTAGGATGTCATGGTGGTGGCTAGAGTGTTTCTCTCTCTAGAGAGAAGTCTCTCTGACTTCTCTCTAGAGTGCCACCGCCAACATGAGTGCTCTTCGGTGATTCCAGTTCGTGAACAAAGGATTTCCCAATTACTTTGGATTATCTCTTTCGTTTATTCACTGGTTTCTTTAATGATTTGTTGATTTTTATTTACAATCCAAGATTTTATTACTTGTCCCAGTTTTGTCCTTTTATGATTTGCACTTTGCAAGCTACAGTACTGTTCATGGATTTGGCTTTTTCGATAAAGGCAGAAGGTTTCCGGCGGTATGTTTTGTCCATTCGTACAAGACAACGTTCTCCGGTGGGATTTTACGAATTCGTCAGCAATGATAATTTCCGGTGGTCTCCTTCTTGGTCAACCATCGGTGATTTCCGATTTCCGTCTAGCGGTGCGTTCTGGTTAATGACCGTGGGTCTAGCTTTCTTCTCTGATAGTCCATGACCGGTGTTAAGAGCCTTTTCCGGCGACTGTATCACGCCCGGTGAGTTCGCTTCTTCTTGCTTGACCCTTTTATGTGGATTTTGATACTCTGACTTGGTGACTGGAGGTAGACTGTATTGGAGATGGTTTGGATGAATCCAGCCTCGGTCCAATGGTCTTAGATTTTTCCGGCCATGTTGAGGTGTTGCCGTCCGTGGTTGGGTGAGGGAAGGGGTGGTGGAATCGAAATGGGTGGGATTTGTCGTCGGAGAGGGCTCTGTGGTTCTTGCCGGCGCTGTATGAAGGTTTTCCGGTGGCTCCGGAAGAATGGGGGTCCCTGGTTTTCCGGCGAGTACATGTGGTTCGATGGAGGGGTTTGTGCTCTAAGTTTTGGTTCGGTTTGTTTTCCGGCAAATACAGAGCTGCTGGAGGTCTTTCGCTGCTGGCATTTGTTTGTTGTTGGCGTGGGAGCTCTGTGGTGGTGTCCGGTGGGTTTTCCGGCGATGGACTCAGAGAGAAATCTTTGCAGTGGTTTGGTCGCTTTTCCGGCGGAAACTCTGTCACCGACGTCTCTCTTCGATGGATGGCAACGGAGCTCCGGGGACTTGTCCGGCGTTGACCGTGGGTGGTCTCCGGATGGTAACGCGTCATTGCCATATTGGGAGGTGCCTAGATATGGTGTTTGTCGGATTTTGTGGTGATTGGAAGCAAGACCGCGTTCCTGATTGTCGTTGATGAAGGAAGGTGCACGTGCATGGATTTTGGACGCATAGACCGGATCGACCCGCTTAATGGTGGGAAGACCCGTTGCTTGGCGATATGGTTTAAGGTTGTTCCTGGTGCATGATTTGAACAAGGTAGACTTCGCGGCTAGACGGGATGAGAGTTCGGATATGAGCCGATTGGTGCGGGTTTGAGCCTCTCATTGTCGGAGGATTTTTAACAAGTCTCTCTCCTGTTTGTAGACATGTTGCTACTAAGCATCATATTCAATTTTTTGAGCTAAAGTTCTAAAAGACTGGTGTGGTTCAGTGGTAGGGTGGGCGTGCATTGGGACGTTTAGCCAGGGTTTGAGTCTACTTGTAGCATTGCTTTTGATTTCAGTGCATTTCTTTGGAGATTGCTGTGCATGGAGCGTACTAGTTAGGCTTGGCTTATTTTAATTAATTTTGCTTAGTCTAATTTGTATTAGCCGATGTTATTCCAGATTTCATTTCTTGTGTCTAATTAATTTTTATGTTTTTGGTGTAATCAGGGGTATGCCCCGTGTCATATGTATTTGGACTTTTGATTTATATTTACATCTCCCGATTTAATGTAATAGGATGTCACATCTGTTACCATTTGAAGGATTGAGAAAATTTCATAATTACCATATTAATTGTGTGATCAACTTTTTCTTTAAAAAAAATTATTTATTTATACAATACACACACATACAATCAATCAATCAAACACCAGATAAGGTTTCTCCGACCATGAATATTATTTTATCATGATTGATGAAGCTAAGGATCAGAAAAAGACTTCCTTCTGGGAACATTAATGTACTGAGAGAGTGACAGGTGAAGCTAGTTAGAAGAAATCCACATTCTGAAAAGGCAATTAAGGTTAGACACTAACTAACAACTGCCTTTGATGAAATATCATCCAAATTTGGCAAAAATGGCCTCAACAACTCCCTTAGCTATGGGGTGGTAACAATCACAGGCTTCCGAAAACACCCTTCTCGCAAAAACCTTGTCTTCTTCCTTCCCGTCGCCTTGCACGAGGGCAGTGTAAAGCGGGCGAAGGTACAGCATCCTCCCCACCTCCTTCAGAGTCTTTTCCACCTCGTTGTAGTACTCTCTGCACCCCGCTGAGATCCCGAGCTTCAGAAACCCGACCCTCACCTCATAGTTTTTCGACTCCGAAAGCCTGTACCGAGCATCTAATGCCCTCACCTGAGGACAACACGTTAAGATGACACAAACCGTTATGGCTAGGAGTTCAAAAAAGCACAAAATTATTTGAAAAACGGTGCAACCTGTGAAGCTTCAACAGATTTCGGTAGGTTCTCTAGGTAAAGCTCCCATTCTTGTCCATGCCAGTCCGCGACTTCATCCTCTCGTGGCATCCTACCTAGCTTGAATTCTTCGGCCAGAGAAACGATCTTTGAGTAGAGGTCGGAAACTGGCTCCATGGCATCTGGAGGTATGCCAGTACCCTCGGTCCATAGCTTCAAATCAACTTCATCCCCTATTCCCGGGATGTTTGCTTTGAGGAAATCAAGAAACGTATCAGTATCAATCGACTGAAACTTGAAGGTCTCAATGTACTTCTTCAGAAATTCATCAAAGGCGGGTCTTCCAACCTGAGCATCAAAATAGACCGCAAGTTATTCATTTCCAAAACGTCTCAAGAAAATACAAACTTTCTTACTTGTCTCTCAATCCGCCACAAAAACTGGAACCCTTTTTCATACGGGACCGAAGAATATACATCATCCGGGTCAACCCCTGCCTGGTTGGTTTTAAGCTTCGTGAACTCCAACTTATCCTTGAATCTTTCCGTATCCTCAACCAGTCCCCTCCAGCCAATACCGATATTCATCGCAGCTCTTTCCTCTCCTTGCACCACCTCAACAATCCTCCGCTCTGCATATGTCGTGAAACCCTAGGAACCCAACACAACAAATCATTCTAAGCTATGCGAACTCATCTTCTAAGCAAAACGAAAGAATTCAAATTAGCATTCTTGTAGCTGTATAATGATTATATGCTCAATATGGATCACTCAAAATGCATCATTGAAACACAAGATCAGCTATTGCACCAGAAGGAGGAATCTCGAACATAGGAACTAATGAATTGAGGTATATGAATCATGAAAATACCAAAACAAACATAGTTGAATGCTAAAGACTGCCCTATCACATTCTAACTCCGCTATATATGCCTAGATTGAGACAACTCCAGCCAAGTTGATCAGACTATTTTCTTGATAACTACAAGATCACAAGTTCTACTCTCAACGGGAACAGCCTATTGACCTTCTTGGTTTGAGCTGGTCAACTATGAGCAATCTAAACTGATTTACCTCTGGGGTCTAGTGGTTAGGGGTTACTGCAGATTTCTCTCGTCACCAATGCAAAATGCGAGGAGTATGGAAACAATACATTTGTAAATAGATATCTATAATATATTACCCCAACCAAGTTGGTCGGACTGTTGCTTTGGTAACCACAAGGTTAACTCTCAGAGGGACTGGCCTATTGGCCTTCGTGATTTGAGCACGTCAACCTAGACTCGTCTAGTCGACCAGTCCACTCTCGGATAGTATCTGCGGGTTTACCTCGTTTAGCCAAAAGTGATCATTGTTCTTGTTAGTGATCAAATTTCCAGTCCAGCTATGAGCAAGTTCATGAGCCACCACCTGAGCTCCGGTGGCATCTCCCTTGATTACGGTGGGTGTCAAGAACACCATTCTCGGATTCTCCATTCCTCCATACGGAAAGCTTGGAGGCAGCACCAATAAATCAAACCTCTCCCATTCGTAAGCCCCGAAAAGCTTCTCTCCAACCCTGATAATCTCCTCAGTACCGGCAAACTCCTGGGCGGCGGCGTCCAACACGGCGGGGGTCGCCTCGGAATAAACCCTAGTCCGTGGCCCGACCTCCCGGAACCCTAATTCCCCAACCGCAAACGCGAATAGATACGGCGGAATCGGCTGCTCCATCACGAATTCCTCCACAATCCGATCATCCGCACACCAAATTGAATCCTCGCATGCTCCTCCGGCCTCCGCCGGCGCCGGCGGCCGCCTCTCCACGTGCTTGGCGGACATCACCGCCGAGAGCTGCCGCGGGACGTTGAGCTTCGCGGAGTATTTGGTCCTCGCGGCGGGCGTGTCCTGGCAAGGGAAGATGGACCTGGCGTGAATGGACTGGCACTGAGTGTACACGAAAGGATGCGTCTTGTTAAACGTCTGCGGCGGAGAAAGCCACTGCAGGGCGGAGCTGGCGGGGCTGGTTTTCGAGAGAATCAAGACTTGCGCTTTGTCGGAGACCGATACGGTGAGCGATTGGCCGAGGACGGGGTCCGGCGGGGAAGGGGAGAGCGAATAGGGGAGCGGAGAAAGCGAGAGCGGGTCGAGAACGGCGGAGATGGAGAGCGAACGGGTGTCGAGAGTGAGTTCGCCGGAATAAGGCGCGGCGAGCGTGAGGAGCGTGGCGGCGGAAATGGTGGACGAGGGGAAGTCGAAGTAGAGAATGAGGGAGACGTGGGTGGTTAAAGGGTGGTCGGAATCGGTGAAGGAGTGTGGGTCAACGGGCGCCATGGCTGAGAAAGAGAGAAGCTTTTGTTGCAGGTGGAGACTGTAATGGATTGATTAATGGATGATTATCAGAATAATTTGATTCCAAACAAAAGCAGTGGGAAAGATAAATGCAAGATTTAATATTTATTATTTTGTATTGTAAACCTAAAGGTAAAGACTGGAATTCTGGGTGATATTTTAAAGATAAAAGAGCTCTGCAACTTTGGGTTTCTGATGGTCAATTTTTTCACGGGAAGAAGATGATGAACATTTATTGATTTCCTAAAAAAAAAACATTTATTGATGAAAACATGTTTTTTTTTATTTATATTTTAATTTTAATTAAAAGGTATTTAGTTTTATGTGTAATTTGTTTTGTAAGTTATTGCACATGAGTCATATACTATTATATAATATAATAACTTTGAGTTCATCAATCCTTAATTAAAAGTTAAGAGTTTGATTATTGGTGCTGGCTATGGAGCTAAACCCTTAATTTTAGGTATATAGTAATTTTAAATCTTCAGGTCAATTGTCATACTAAAATATATGTATAATTCAGTTTAAGTGATTAGTCACAGTATTAAAACTCATGGGTACATCAACAAAAAGAAAAGGATAATAACTATGAGTATGTGCTAATAATATATATCACATTTTAACAAATATATTATGATCTCACTTAAAACTTACTCTAACAAAAAGTAGTTGAATAGATGGTAATTCTAACTAAGTTAGTCAGACAGTTGAATTAATAATCACAATGTTGAGAGAAGAAGAATAAGAAAAGTAATTACAATGTTACAAATTTGACTCTTAATAGGAGCATCTTATTGATATTATTGGTTACTTAAACTAGTATATCTTATTTATAATTTTTCAATTATCACAAAGTAAAATTTATCTAGTGCACCCCATTAAATAGTTAGTGTGATTTAAAAAAAAAAAAAATTAGTTGAACAAATAAGTAAATAAAATATTAAGAGATATTTTTAAATTAATAATTATTAAAGGACCCACCAACCACTAACAAAAAAGATAAAAACTCAAATCAAACAGTCGGCAAAAAAAATAGAAAAAGAAAAAAAGTAGTAATCTTTGCAGAATAGCGATAGCCTCTGTTTCAGAAGGGACTCATCTGCTCTGGAGCTAAGAAGAAGAAGAGCTGATAGAAAATGGACGATTATACCAGGGAGATGATGGACCTCAAAACCCTCGTCACTCGAACCCTCGAGAAGAAAGGCGTTCTCGCCAAGATCCGAGTAATCTCCCCTCTTTTTTCTCCGCATTTCTGTCGTCTTACATGCGCAGATACCTATATTCTCTCTCGCTGTATTTCGCTTCATTCTGTATGTGTACATATTTTAAAATGTGATATGAATGATTGGTGGATCGGATCGGGTCATTGCATAGGTTTGTACAGTGTATTTGAGAGCATAAGTCCCTCCGAAAGCTGTAATTTTTGTTGTTTTTGATGGACTATAGGAGAGATCAACGAAAGTGAGAATTTTTATGAAATTAGGGTTCTTTTCCTCTCGGGTGGGGTGGGATGCGGTGGTAATTCACTAATTCCTTTTGCTAGAATTCCCAGAAAGCCTTAGAAGCTGAAATTATAGTTTTTTTCTATAATGGTTTTTAGGATGTTTTATGCCGTGATGTCTTTTAATTATGTTATGATACTTGAAGGATGAAGCATTGTAGCATCATCATGCATTATGTTGATAACTAAGTGTTTTTCTTTTTTGAGCTTTTTGTCTTTTACTATATTTGATTTTGTGAATTTAAGATTCTTCTCACCAAATAGAACATCTTGGCTGCTTGTTTTACACTTTTACTATTACGCCCTGTATTTGTTCTTAATTTATCTCATGACATCGGTGAATGTTAGTTCAATGTTACAACAAACGTTGCGATGTTGAGAGTGATACGTTAGATTGGAAGAATATAAAAAGAAATGTTGGCAAGTTTCACCATTGATGGATGGACTTTTATGTTTTCTATGGTGCTTGTAAATCACCTAAAAGCAATGGTCTCTCCTTTTGTCTCTCACAACTAATTTGGCTGGTGAACCTGGTTGAACAAAATGTGTTGCACTTACATGGGCATATTTTTCAGGCTGAACTTAGGGCAAATGTCTTTGAGGCAATTGAGGAGGAGGATAGAGCAATTGAAAAGGATGAAGGCTTGCCTCCAGCTCTATTAGGCAGCTGCAATGATCGTGCTAAACATCTTCATAATTCTCCATCAGGTTTAGTTAAATATGTTATGTTTTGGACTTATCAACTTTTTCAACAACTACTTCTATAAAGAATATGATTTGCAAGCGTTTTCTCTGGATTGAGTTTGCTCAATATATTCACCATTTCTAACCATTGTGTACCAGTCATAAGTATTACTCGTAGTTCATTGTTTGTCCCCATCAAGAAGTTTCTATGTAGATGCACAAATTTTTCTATCATGATATCGTCCTCCTACATAAATATTGAGCAATAAACTCATTAGGATGTGTTAGTACCCCAAACCTTCCATCCTTGTTTTCCTGGACTGCTATGTGTATAGTAAGATCCTGTGGTCAAGAATCTTACTTTACTACCTTCTAATCTGCTCTTGCTTGTTTTTCTCTGTGCCAAATGCAGGAAGGCTACTAACTGCACTTGTATGTGAATATTTGGATTGGGCTCAATTAAACCATACATTGAAAGTTTATTTGCCAGAGTGTAATTTGGTAATCATGTATAGTTCCCTCTGGAATTAATTCTACTTTATCAATGTCTGCAGCTCTTTGATCTATTTCTAATAGCTAATTTCTTTTGGTGCAAATATTTTAAACAATGGTGCATTGCAGCAAAAGGATTTCTGGAAATCTGAGTTAAAAGAATTTAGTAGCAAGAATGGATATGATCTTAACATGAATGGAGACAGTGGACCGTTACTTTTGGATGTTCTTGAAGGATTCTTGAAGTATGAGGTGCGGTATAATACTCTGTAGAATATTTTAACCACGTAATAATCATTTCAATGGACTTAAAAAAAAAAAAAAAAAAAAAAACTTTTGTTAGCAGTATATCATTGTTTCAATTCACATTTGGCATGGTTCAGCAATCAACATAATCTATTTGGCAGTGTGTCACCACAAATTGCTTTTCTGGCACTTCTTTATAACTATCTTATAAGACAAAAACCTTTTCTTTTGTCCAACGACACTGAATATAGATTTGAGCACCAGTTACTAACTTTGCATGAAATCTGGTATCGGTCTGATTTTGATAATAGAAAGTGAAAATGTCTGACTGGTAAAGCTTTAGCTGTCTGAGCTTGACCCTGAAATCCCTGTTGATTATGATTCTTTTCCCAAAGGAAGAAAGTATACTCCAGTATTAAGCAAACCATATTAGGGTCAACTCTAGATTTTTATTTTTATTTTTATTTTTATTTTTTTTCCACACAAGAACTACTGGAAACTTGATGTATAAGCAATTGACTCATCAGCTATCAAACACGTAGTGAGTGCTCTGTAATATACTTGTATGTATCTGTTGGTTCATTTTTGTTCTACTAAGCATAGTGGGATATCTCAGTCTCTAAGACGTTACATCTCACATTGTTTCTTTTTCTAGGGATTTGGAGGCTTGAAAATGTGATTGGTTCTACTGATTAGAGAAAATAGATATCAGTTACATCCTACAATTATACTGCTATAAGTGCTATGTGTACTGTCATTCTGTGAATGAGTGTATATGCTTAAGATTCATCACTCATTTGTTTTCTAATGTCAAATATTGTAGAATTTATCTCAAGCAAGGGGTGCTGGAAGGAGATTGACCACGCCAGAGGCTGAATCATTGCCCAACTTAGAAATGCGGGACAGTAGGAGACCTCCATCTTCATCAGTTGCCGGGGGCTTACCTCCATTGGGAAGGTATATACAACACTACTACTTCTTTCTCTTAGAATTCTGTTTTCTGCTTTTGAAGCTTTTGACTCGGGATTATTTGACTTGTGCAGGCCAGTTCCTGTTTCTCAGGCATCTAGTAGTAAGTAGCCTGGCTTCTTTACGTTCGTTTGCTATTCTATGATATCTGCATATTTTGGCTGATAAAATTTAGTTGTTAGATAGACGAGCAGGGTCATCTGTGTCTGGATACAGGAAAGATGAATACAACTGGAGATATGAGAGCGATGAGGTTGAAGAAGATGTAGTCCGTGCTTCAACTGCCTTGGAAAACCTTCAGTTGGATAGAAAAGCTCGGAACCTTTCCACCTCTTGGCGGTATGTTTTTTTTTTTTTTTTTGAGATTTTCGTCAGATAGTAACTCACAAGCATAACAAATGCTTCTAAGTTGTATATTTTTACCAGAAGCATCTCATATCACTATATCAGATGGCTACACATGAACTTGTGAGCTCAAAACGGAAAAAATTTGGGCACGAACCTTACCTCTGTTTCCAGAGTAGTTCCCAACTCCCGAGAAAATGAACAAATAACCAACTCTGAACAATTGGCCACCTTACCAAGCCTAACCTCGATAATATGATTGTCTGTAGAGGGGAGATAATTGATGCTACATTTTACGTTGGTAATTAACTCATCCTAACCGTTTATTTGTTACTGGAATTGATTTGATTGCAGATATGCAGGGAATGGCGTTTCTGAGCATAATGACAGGGTAGAGTAGAGGTAGGTAGAAGGGGTATTATTTCTAAATGATAAAATGGTGGATCTGTTCCCTTATCATGTGTTATATAATATGCTTTGTAATGAGCATTGATGATATGTATCTTGTATGATTAAAACATTTCTGTATTTTACTAATTTTAAATGGGCTTCCTTGACGTTAAAGTTCCTCCCGTTCAATCCCATTTCCCCCTTGGTTCTTGACATTATAATGTATTATAGCAATGCCTTTGAGATAGCGACTTCTGAATAGAGTCCAATCTCGAGACTGGATTGAATTAATCTCTATTATCTCATAAAGTATATGTATCAATGTAATATGAAAAAATCAAAAAGAACTTTTTAATGTACCGAGTATCTGACTAGGGAATTCCTCAAGGCAAGTAAGAGATGAGGCAAATTTCGTTCCATTTAATCACAACATGAAATGACATTTTTTTTTTCCAACAAATTCTTAAAAGTAACTGATTATGAAGACATATAGTGGCCAAAGTAAGCCTAGTTAACTTTTTTTTCTTTACCAATAGAAACTTACTGTTACTATTTAAGAATATATACTGAGTAAATTCTGTTTTAATAGCTCATATATCATGCAAGAAAGGTAAATTGCACTAAGGAAATCATGTACAACAGGCTCTGAAAAAGTATTAACAATAATCAAATTCATAACATTCTTTATATTGTAATATGATACCACTCAATCACTCCTATCGGTCCTAGTTAGCGCACTAATAATTGTAATGGAGAAATACTGTTTTGACATTGAACATCTCCAATAAGAAAAAGATGTTTTCACTGCAGTCTGCAGTGTACAAAACAACACATTACTTTCTCAAACTCAATTGCCAAAATTTGCATCTCTTCAATTCCGACTCCCTGGATAGAAGTACTCCACGTTACTTTCCTTGATTTGGTAATGGAAATTACGGGCCTTGGTCCCAGAGCTTCCTGAGCCGTAACCAACTCCCCTATTGATAACAGTCAACTGCAGAAAATAACAAAGAAAGAGAAACCGTCGTGTCTGAAGTCATGAAAACAGTATCAAGATCTCATATGTGAAACAGTGAAAGTAAAGGACTTGAGTTGCTGTTGTGCATATTGATGATAATAATATACATCACGGTATAAAGAATCATAGGGTACAACATTTTTCTGTCATGTGTGATTCCAAGCAGATTTCTCAAAATGACACTACAGACTTCTATTGAAAACATGGAATTATGCTTCATCTTCCAATTTTTATCACAGTTGAATCTATAGCAACTAAGAGTGGTGCCGGAAGTGTGTCATGAGAATGTTCGTAGAAACATATCAAATACCGGGTTTTACAAATAGTGCACATTTCTTTTCTTGAAAACCCAGGTTTCCCAGATTCGCCAGACTACATCCTGGATCTCATGAACCCACCCTCTAGGCCCATGAGGAGGTAAATCGAGTCAATCTTGCTTCGAGACTCAACACAAAAATGTACACTTATGAACCAAACTGTATAGCTTTGCCAGACTAATAGTGCACATTTCTGGTTTGAGGATAAAGGGAAGGATACACAGATCCAAGTTGCAAGATACTAGAGCGTCTGGAGTCTGACTTGTTTTGCACAATTTTCAAATTGCCTTCAGGAAAATCTTTTTGAGCTTCAAGTATATAAAAATTGAAGAATGGTTGGACTAGGAGACCAACAGATAAATTACCAACCTTGACAAACTAATACAATCACCTCATTAATATTCAGCAGTTGCGGGGCAGTATTGAATTAAAGTGTACCTGTCCATGCACATCAGTTGCTAACCCAGTGCTCAAAGGTTCCGTCTTTATCACCACATCTGCAAGGTATTCCATTTGCAAAATCATTCCTGGCTTATCCATGCTCAAATAGATGTCCTCGTGATTAAGGGTCACAAGTGAACAACCCTACACGAACAAACTCTCAAAATGTCGGTTTGGCTTTAAGAAAAATAGGTCAAAAAATAAGCCAAGCATAAAGTAGTGAATGCAGTTCCATACAAATTCCGTTGTCAAAGTGTAGCAATAATGCAGAAAATCTAAAACGTGGCTCGATGACCCATTGGCAGCCACTTCAATCTGGGATACATCATCAATCATCACTGTTATGTTTCTCAAGCCCTCCGACACAAAAGAAGCCTCCACTGTTTTTTGAAGTTTTCCATACAAAGCAAGCAGTCCATTTTCTATAGTTTCCCCTCCATCTGTCTAACAATGTCAAAGATGACTTATAATGAATTTTTTTTTTTTAATAAAGATATTTCTCCTGAGAAAAGATTATTCAAAAGAAACCATTAAATTCCTTCATTATAATACTTCTCTATGCACTCATAAAAATAATTATATTTTTAACAAAAAAGTATTTTAGTGATACATTCTCACACAATATTTATTCAATAGTAATTGGGCAGTCTAGAAATGATAATCATGACATAAAATAGCCAATGCAAACTTCATTTTCTTCAGAGATTATTAAGTTTCTTCGCTGGTTTAATTTTTCATTAATAATATTATTTTTTTTATCCAAGGAATATAAATATAAAATGAAATAACAACAGCAAAACATTCAAGTTTAACCAAAGCAATCGATTTTCTTAACAAATTCACCTGGAAATTCCATCATGAGCATGTCCAGAAACAAGAATCTTTGATTGTCTCTATGCACAGCTAAGTTGCAACCCTGTTACGCCAAAATAATTAATTCAGAAAAAGATAGCTATTATTTCCCTCCTAATTTAGGAAACACGAATAGTTTAGCAACGAACAGGAGTCAAATTGAGCATTGAAATGAAAAGAGTAAAAGGTGAGGGGCAACCATTTTGCGGAGGATGCGATCGTAGTGAGAAAAAGGCTGCGCGAAAGCAAGGAAGACGACGACGTCGGAGGATTGGGAAGAGAGAGAGCGCTTGATGAAATGGTGGAGCAGGAATCCGCCGCTGGTCTCCACGCAGTCCTCAATCACCACCACTCGACCGCGCCTTTTAGGACCGGAAACAGTGTCGCCGGCGGCGAGGGCTTCCTCTAGCAGGTTTGGAGACGAAGTGTTCATGGTGGACTAGGTTTGAGCTACTGGTTGTGGTTTGGTTATGGAGGTTTAGCTAGGGTTTTCAGTTGAATCAATCATCCATTAATCCAGTATTCCAGTTTTTCTCCAAAGGCTTTTTTTTTTTTTTTTTTTAAATGAGGTAGCTTTGCAACAGTTACATGGATCCGGATCCAAAATATATAATTTACATACTGATTTTTACATTTTACATATTGAATATTCACAATTTCATATAGTAGCTAATGTGATCATTCATAATTTACAAATCAAACATTTTAAACTTGTGACATTTGGTATCCTCAAATTATATTTTATTTTTTTAATTTTACATTACATCAAACATTTTATGATGTCATTATTATATAATTATTATTCAAAAAATTAAATACAAGGTGTATACTTCTGCACCGTGATTCACAATACATTGTAGTTCAGGTATTAGATATGCACTGCAGTTTCATTTTGATATAACGACAATATATACTCAAATATGTGAAATTGTTATTCAATTTTATTTTGTAACACAACACAACTACAGTTTTATTTCAATTCAATTACAATTTCATTTGATAATATAATAAATATAATACATGACAATGTCAATTTAAATAGATTATAATGTCTATCATTTCAAAACATGATCTACAAAGTTTTGTGGACCGCTGTCCACAGTATAATTGCTGATACTTTAGATCTCCCAACCTTAGAACCGCAATAGTCTTAACCATTTACAATATTATTATATTGTTTATTTTTTATTATTTAATTAAGCAAACGAAAAAAAAAAATTAATATAACTGAACTGGCTCCAGAAATATTTATCATATAAATAAAGACCAAGACCCAGAATTATTATTTCAATACAACTTACTCTTTTATTATTTTAAATTCCAAGACACATTGATACTACTTTTTAAAATAACACTTCTCAATTATAAAAAGTATGTCATACCCTAATATATTAACAAAATTATCACTAAAATAAATATTAAATGCAAACATTTAATCACTGAAATCTTAAATGCATTAAGATTTCATAAATGCAACAATATGTCATGAGTTGCATTTTCATAGATCATAGATATTAAAAAGCTCAAATCACTAAAATACATTTACAATTTTCCATTAGAAATTATTAAACACTCTTTTGTATACAACATTTGTAGTTGAAGAGCATTAACAGCCAAGAGCTAAAGGGACAACATATACAGCAAGTGCAAAGAAGATGCAAATATCTGGATGACAGCAGCACGTGTTACTGGTCTGTGTAACCATGGCAACCAACAAGAAGCATCATCCCAAACAGAAATACGGGAAGCACGTAATATGTTTCATAAACGCACAAATTTACTTCCACCATTCTAACTGGCTATGGCAAGCATTTATACAGTTGCAAATTGCAATGGGGTATATCTCAATTGAAGTCAATTGATACCAAGGTGCCTTCAATACCCCCCTTTAGATGGATGCTAATTTGATCTGAATTCTGATCCAATAGATCGTTGATCTGAAAACTGAAAGATCATTAGGATTTCCGGCTCCTCTTTTGTTCAATGCCTGACTGTGAAAACCCGTGTCTAAGTATCTGGAGAACCTCTCAACTTTTACTCCTCTATTGGCAAGCAAAACCAAGGCATGGTATAACAAATATGCTGCTTCTGATGAAGTGCGTAACTTATCATCATTTTCCTCCAAAGTTCGGGATAATTCATCTGCCTCCTCCCTGTGGAATCCAGGTTCAATTAAGCAACAAGAGATGATTGATTCACACATATGAATGAAATATCACATTTCCAAACATTTAAAATTGTTTTGTCGTCAATCAATATCAATTTATAAGCAAGAAATATGATAGCACAATGAACACATTCATTAGGCACCGAATTTTTTAGCAAAGCAGCTTCTCATCAAGCAACAATCGCTTTGTCCATGATGGCTTTCCATTTGGAGATTGTGAAATTTCTTTTTTTCTTTGGGAGATTGTATATGTAAGGTTATTAAGTTTCCTATCCAAACTTGACCAACTCATAGATGTAGCCCAACTAACTACAGAAAAAATTATTGAGCAACAATGTACACATCAAGAGACATCAAAATGATAGATGAGAAGCCCATCCATCACCTTTATTTCTCTATCCTCTGTTTACCAGACATGTAACGGTATCTACCAAAATGGACATGGTAGACATCTGACTTATGTCTCACTTCAGAGCAAATCTTTTCCTATCCAGGATTGGCTAACTCATGAACTGAGGGGTTCAGATGTCACTAAGGGACATCAAAATGATAGATGAGAAGCCCATCCATCACCTTTATTTCTCTATCCTCTGTTTACCAGACATGTAACGGTATCTACCAAAATGGACATGGTAGACGTCTGACTTATGTCTGACTTCAGAGCAAATCTTTTCCTATCCAGGATTGGCTAACTCATGAACTGAGGGGTTCAGATGTCACTAAGGGACAGCTATAGGGCAATGATTAACTTCATCAAGAGATGACAAACTTAAATATAGGAACCCATCCATGGAGTAGTTGATCTTATTTTACATTCCAAGGATTCTACAATCTGCAAAAGAATTTTTTTATGGCCATGTCGTGTACAGATGTAGCCCAAATAACGTGAGAAAACATTACTGAGCAACGATGTACACTTCAAGAGACATCAAAATGATAGATGGGGAACCCATGCATCACCTTCACTTCTCTATCCTTTGTTTACCAGACATGTAACGGCATCTACCAAAATGGAGATGGTAGAATCCTGACTTATGTCTGGCTTCAGAGCAATTTTTTTCCTATCCAGGCTTGTCTAACTCATAAACTGTGGGGTTCAGATATCACTAAGGGATAGCTAACAATCTGCACAAGAATTTTTGTAAGGCCATGTCGTGTACAGATGTAGCCCAAATAACTTGACAAAACATTACTGAGCAACGATGTACACCTCAAGAGACATCAAAATGATAGATGGGGAGCCCATGCATCACCTTCACTTCTCTATCCTTTGTTTACCAGACATGTAACGGCATCCACCAAAAGGGAGATGGTAGACACCTGACTAATGTCTGAATTCAGAGTAATTTTTTTCCTATCCAGGCTTGTCTAACTCATAAACTGTGGGGTTCAGATATCACTAAGGGATAGCTATTGGGCAATGATTAATTTCACCAAGAGAAGACAAACTTAAAGATAGGAACCCATCCATGGAGTAGTTGATCTACTTTTCCATTTCAAGGATTCTACAGTCTGCACAAGAATTGTTGTATGGCCATGTGGGGTACAGATGTAGCCCAAATAACTAGAGAAAACATTATTGAGCAACGATGTACACTTCAAGAGATATCAAAATGATAGATGGGGAGCCCATCCATCACCTTTACTTCTCTATCCTTTGTTTACCAGACATGTAACGGCATCTACCAAAATGGACAAGGTAGACACCTGACTTATGTCTGACTTCTGAGCAAATCTTTTCCACATTCAAAAAATCAAAACATAAATTATACAGAGTAATTCAAATATGTGAAATAAACCAAAAAATGAACAATCTTTGACTGAAAATGTTAAGGAAAATACCTTTTCTTCAAGGTTTACTTGTCCATCAGATCTTTTAATGCAGCAAACCACATATGACAACCATTGTTCTGCGCATAGCTAGATTTAAAGAGCGTGCGTCTAGATATAACTTTAGGAGGTCGGAAGCAATAAGAATATGAAACAGCCATTGTTGGTTCTGGGTCACCCCTTATGTCCAAGCTAGTCCTATGTACAGAACAACACCATTAGTCAACATTAAAACGGAAACACCAAAAAAAAAAAAAAAAAAAAAAAAAAAAAAAAAAAAAAAAAACGAATAGAAAGAGAACAGGGTTACAGCTTATACACTCTCTCCATGATTCAGGGATACTACAATTTCCAGGAAAAACAAATAATCTAAAGCTTAAGCTGTAATGACCTATCCCAGTAATCTCATTTTACAACTGTTTACAGAAAAGCAAGCCAAAATTGAAATCGCTACTATCCGTTCCGATTAAAATAATGAAATATACCATCAATACAAATATATAAATAGAATAAATGCACCAAAACACAATAAAATGCATCAAAACACATTGAGCTGAAATCCGATCTTACAAATCCGAAGAAATCCGGGGGGCGCGTTGTGTTGGCGCCGTAAAAGCATAAAACCCTAGACGAATACAACCAGGTAGCCGAACCGGGATATATATAAGGAAGGCATTCTCCGGTGATTTACTTAAATGACCCCCTTTCTGTTACAAACCCTCCAATATTGCATTTATCTTTTGGAGAATTTTTCTTAAGATATGATAGAATTAATTAATGAGATTTTATTTGATAATTAGTATAATTTTTTAGTTTAAGCTATATTTGAATAAATTTATAATTAATTTATTATGAATACCTTATTATAATTAAATAAATAATATTTGTGCACTACAAAATTTTAATTAATAGCTAATAACATTGTAATTATATTATGCAAAAATTTACATTGCGTCCTTTTCTTTTCGTTACAAAATAAATTCATAAACTGCAAAACACATCATATAAATAAAATATTAAGTAATATTTATTGCAAATATCTTAAAATTTATGAGGGAGAGTTTGAATTTCTTTTGTGGAGTGCAGTGAGATGGCGTGAGTTTTTTTCAACTTAATTTAAATGTATTTGAGTATTTCTACATTAAAATTCGGGTGAGTCTTCTGTAATACCGTCTCACATATTATTATTCGCTAGTCATGTCGGCCCAAGCTATAATCCTAAAAGCATACCATTAGTAGTTTTATGTGATTTTTTGTGAAGGCAAATGTGAGGTTGACGACAGAAGGGAAAATGGTATTGGAGGAGAACTTTTTTTTTTTTTTAATCTCATATTCTCCTAATGTGGTTCGCCAAAAGAATTTAAAAAAAAAAAAAAAAAGTAATAGAGAGGACGAGATCAACGTGAGAGTCAAATACTGACATTTAGTATACCCATTTTACTTTAAAAAAAAAAAAAAAACAAACAAAACAAAGGCTTGTGCCCGATTTGTTTTTATTTTTTATTTTTTGGTTTTGTTTTGGTTTTTATTTTTCTTGTTTTTTTTATCTTACTTTAATTTGCTCATAAAAAAATTGTGAAAAATTATATTAATGGGGTTGCTCTAATATTTATGTTGAAAATGTAATATTAATTAGAAATATATCGTTTGTTATTATAAAGTGTAATACGTTTTGATGAAAAATATAATACTTTTAAATTAAAATCTAGTATTGATGGGTTGATCAATTACTTAGAAGAGAATTGTAATATTAATCGATGATAAATTGATTGATTGTTACTTATAAAATAAATTGTATTACTTATGAGAAAAAATGTGAAATTCAAAAAGCGTCAAATAACTTTTCGAATTATATTATATATGAAAAGCCAAATTGATACTGCTAATTCTACGTAAGCAATATAAATCACACAAGACCAAGTAAAGCAAGTAACGTCTTTATTGATCAAGGTAGAGTTCCTAAGTACAATCTACTTGGTTGCTCTGAGTACCGACTGAGTGCGGTCGGGATTCTCTAATAACAACCTATCGATCGTCCAAAAGTCCCCTACACTGCAGCTACTGTGGGTACTTATAGCCGCGATGCCGGAGACAAGCTTCCGGCCGTTCGGCATGCTCTCCACGTAGCCTCCACGCGTCCCCCTCCTGGGTGCCCTGCCTGTCGTCGTAGAAAGCCGCCACGTGTCTTTAGCCAGCTCTCTCGCCTAAGGACCACCGCTCGGGGTTCATAGCATCGCTCGGGCAACTCCCGGTCGGGTTCTCCTCAAGGAGCCCGACCTGTTACCTGCAAAGACATAGACAAAAGGACAAAGGCATCTCGGTCGTGGTGAAGCTGTGTCGGTCGGGATATTCCCTACCAAGAGCCCCCCAGCCCGGGCCTTTTTGATCAGTCGGGAAAAAACGGGACGGGATGAAGAAGCCCAACCGTCAGCCACCAAGCCGACCTGCCAGCTGTAATTCCATTCTACGCCACGTGTCGGCCTCTGCCGGCCTTGGCGATCCCATCCGTCGTCTCGGATTCAGCGCGGGTCGTGTCAGGCAAGTTGGCCCATTTCCCGCCTAAATGTCCTCCTATAAATAGGCCCTGGAGGCCCTCATTTGAACTTTCCTCACTCTTTCGCATCGGTCGGTACCCTCAGAGAGTCCCGAGCAGAGCAGCTTAGCAAGGCAGTCGAGCAAGCAAACTTCAACTTTCAAGCTTCAAACTTCAATCTTCCTTCAATCGGTAAGCCCTCAACCCCCCTCTTTACTTTAGGCTCTTATTTATAGGTAGAACTACTAGGGCAACTAACTGTCCCGGACGTCTCAAGTCCTTACTAACTCCGACCGACCTTTAGGTAGATCGATATGACGGACTCCGACAGTCAAAACGCCTCGATTGCTGATTACGACGAGGAAGTCGAGCGCATCAGCGACGAGGAGGTGGACATAATGTCCTACACCCCGGACGCCAGTCCCCGAGCGACGCCAGCCCCCGAGCAAGCCGCCGAGCGAGACAATGCATCGAGCTCCTCAGGATCGTCAAGCTCGAGTTCGAGCGGATCGGGGAGCTCCAGCGAGGAAGAAGAAGAGAGAGCCACGTCAAGCGGGCGGGGTTCTCCAACCGAGGGCGTTAGGGAAACGCCTACCCGGGTGGTTGGGGACCACCCGGAAGCTGCTCCTCGAGGGGGCGATCGAGAAAATACCCCCGAGCAGACCGAAGAAGACCCGACCGGGCCGGCCAGACCAGCCGTCGAGCTCGAGTTCCTGAACAGCGAGAGCGTCGAGCAAGAAATGAGCCTGCTGTCCAAAGGCGAGGCGGCTCGGATTGCTGAAATACTCAGGGGTCGGGCAGAATTCGACACGAGCCGGCAGCTGGGAAATGTAATTGACAGGCATCGGGGCAAGTGGATCGGGATGCACTATGACTCCCTGACAGCCCCGATCGCCATTCCCTT